TTTCATTGCTTCAGTGACTTTAGTCGTCATTTCAATCAAAGGTGAAGCTAGCACAGCGATAATGGATTTCATGACTTTTAGTATTTCATGCAATCTTAACAGATAGCCTTATAAGTACTTCCAGTATCGCTAGCTGTCCCTCCTTTTTATATAACTCCATGACATTTATAATCTCGCGAAACTTAACAGGTAGCATAACAGATTAAAATCAGATGAGGTTTTGAACCAAAATTTCTAAGCAACGTTGTCAAGGATTTTGAGGAACTAGGGACAGAGTGTGGCAAAGTCCAAGATTTAATTTATCTTCATCTGTTTCATCAGCTATCTCATCTAATATGCCAATATTTTATTCATAACTCATGGCAAACTCACTAACTTTCATTATGTTCATCTGCATGCTTCATCTGATAGAAAGTATGACTTTCATTAACTCTGTGAGATAATGAAAACTACTAGGGACAGAGACCATGGCAAAGTTTATGACTTTCATTATTTCCAGAACTTAATGAAAACTACTAGGGACAGAGACCATGGCAAAGTTCCTGATTTAATGTATTCTACCAAAAACTTTTGTTTCATTGCTTCAGTGACTTTAGTCGTCATTTCAATCAAAGGTGAAGCTAGCACAGCGATAATGGATTTCATGACTTTTAGTATTTCATGCAATCTTAACAGATAGCCTTATAAGTACTTCCAGTATCGCTAGCTGTCCCTCCTTTTTATATAACTCCATGACATTTATAATCTCGCGAAACTTAACAGGTAGCATAACAGATTAAAATCAGATGAGGTTTTGAACCAAAATTTCTAAGCAACGTTGTCAAGGATTTTGAGGAACTAGGGACAGAGTGTGGCAAAGTCCAAGATTTAATTTATCTTCATCTGTTTCATCAGCTATCTCATCTAATATGCCAATATTTTATTCATAACTCGTGGCAAACTCACTAACTTTCATTATGTTCATCTGCATGCTTCATCTGATAGAAAGTATGACTTTCATTAACTCTGTGAGATAATGAAAACTACTAGGGACAGAGACCATGGCAAAGTTCATGATTTAATGTATTCTACCAAAAACTTTTGTTTCATTGCTTCAGTGACTTTAGTCGTCATTTCAATCAAAGGTGAAGCTAGCACAGCGATAATGGATTTCATGACTTTTAGTATTTCATGCAATCTTAACAGATAGCCTTATAAGTACTTCCAGTATCGCTAGCTGTCCCTCCTTTTTATATAACTCCATGACATTTATAATCTCGCGAAACTTAACAGGTAGCATAACAGATTAAAATCAGATGAGGTTTTGAACCAAAATTTCTAAGCAACGTTGTCAAGGATTTTGAGGAACTAGGGACAGAGTGTGGCAAAGTCCAAGATTTAATTTATCTTCATCTGTTTCATCAGCTATCTCATCTAATATGCCAATATTTTATTCATAACTCGTGGCAAACTCACTAACTTTCATTATGTTCATCTGCATGCTTCATCTGATAGAAAGTATGACTTTCATTAACTCTGTGAGATAATGAAAACTACTAGGGACAGAGACCATGGCAAAGTTCCTGATTTAATGTATTCTACCAAAAACTTTTGTTTCATTGCTTCAGTGACTTTAGTCGTCATTTCAATCAAAGGTGAAGCTAGCACAGCGATAATGGATTTCATGACTTTTAGTATTTCATGCAATCTTAACAGATAGCCTTATAAGTACTTCCAGTATCGCTAGCTGTCCCTCCTTTTTATATAACTCCATGACATTTATAATCTCGCGAAACTTAACAGGTAGCATAACAGATTAAAATCAGATGAGGTTTTGAACCAAAATTTCTAAGCAACGTTGTCAAGGATTTTGAGGAACTAGGGACAGAGTGTGGCAAAGTCCAAGATTTAATTTATCTTCATCTGTTTCATCAGCTATCTCATCTAATATGCCAATATTTTATTCATAACTCGTGGCAAACTCACTAACTTTCATTATGTTCATCTGCATGCTTCATCTGATAGAAAGTATGACTTTCATTAACTCTGTGAGATAATGAAAACTACTAGGGACAGAGACCATGGCAAAGTTTATGACTTTCATTATTTCCAGAACTTAATGAAAACTACTAGGACAGAGACCATGGCAAAGTTCATGATTTAATTTATTCTCTCACTAACAACAAATACAAAACTCCAACACTAACGACAAAAATAAATGTCCTCACTTCTTAACAAAGTAATATGTGCTTCTTACACCACCATAGCTCAAACGTTTCTTTTCAAACATCGATTGAAACTTATTTTGAGCCATTGGCTTTAGTCTCTTTTTCTTCAAATACGCCAAGAAATCTTCTTCACATCTTTTCACTTCATAGCCTTCTTTAAACTCCTCCTTGTTAAGTTCTATGAAATCCTTTATCTCATTCTTTGTTGCAATGGCTTCTTCACGAACGACATCATGAACTATTTCATTATTGCATGAACGACCTCCTTACTGTTCTCATGAACTATTTCATTATTGCATGTATGACCTCCTCACTGTTCTCATGAACTATTTCATTATTGCATTCATGAACGACCTCCTCACTGTTCTCATGAACTATTTCATTATTGCATGAACGACCTCCTTACTGTTCTCATGAACTATTTCATTATTGCATACGACCTCCTTACTGTTCTCATGAACTATTTCATTATTCATGTATGACCTCCTCACTGTCTTTCATAAGCGTTTCAAAGTCTCCTTTACTCATTACTTCAATCTCATGCTGTTCACAGTAGTACTTAAACTCACTGTATATGTCTTTGTTGTATGTTATATTGCTTCCCATGTACTCCATGAATTTTTCAAGCACTTCCTCATAATTCACTGTTTCTTTCTTTCCACGACCTTCTAATATCATACTTGCTTCGTAAATATAACTTCTTGCAGAACCGTCTCGCTTTCTACTTCTCTTCACAAATTCTCTCATCTTGCCACCAAATACATTTGAACTACATGCAAAGAATTCATTCTCCTTCGCAAATTCTTTATATCTTCTGTAGCACTCTGTACAATTCCATCCGGATACAAACTTTTCATAGAACTCCTCGTAAAACATTTGGTAAGGTGTTTTGTTCATTTCGATGAGTTCTTGTTTAGCCCTGGTGAATGGTATCTTCCTTACATCAAATTCACTTAAATCTTTCTTCATGAAGTACGTCAGTAAGTTTGAATAAAACTCTTCATTAAAGCTTTCAATGAGATTTGAGAAATATTCGTAATTTCCTTTGTATCTGCTGCTTACGTCAATGACAACAAATCTTCTGTCGTCTTTGTCAATCTTTACTGAGTTGAAGTTGTTAGATATCATGATGATATTACAAACATTCTCTATCTTTCTTACTGGCTGACACTTCTGATTTAAGTCCAACTGAGTCTCTGTTACTATTGACTTTAGTGCGTCGTGGTTCATGACCTTAGACGTATCGCATGAGCTTAGTTCATTGCATACGATGAGCTTCATGTTCTCAATAGCAGCATTGAATCTACCAACCACATTCTCTATTGCCGTTATATTATTGTTGGCGTACTTGCTAATGAGCTCGCATAGAACATTACTAAGTACATTCTTACCAGTTCCTTGCTTTCCTATTAACAAAAGTACTGTTCCAGTCTTTCCACAAGGATTTTGAACGATGTAGGCGAACCAGTTCAAAACATACTCATAAAGCTCTTCATCCTCATTACATATGACATCGTGAACATGTTTCAAATATCCTTCAATAACGTTCTCATCTACTTCATTCAGTACCTCATACTCATATCCTCTGAAATAGCTGTAAATGTCATCTCTTTCGTCAAAGAATCTCATGCCTGACTTCATAAGATAGTTCTTGTTCTGACCCGCTTCATAAATCATCAGTGCGTTCACATCCTTCTCCTCAATACGTCCTACATAAACACTCTTCATGAGCTTATTGAATTCCTTGCTATCTACTGACACAAGTGTTGTTGTGTCTCGTATTCCATCATAATCTTTCACTAGATATGTCATACGTGCTCCGTCAATAACAACAACACATCTTCTTAAGTCATTTATAACACTAGCTATGTCAATACCGTCCTCACTCATGTACTTATTTTTCCTCAAGTCCTTTAGTGTGAAAGTGTCTCTAAGTTCTATTTCAAGCAATTCATTTACACATCCTTTGCAATACTTCTCTATAAAATATTTCTGTCGTTCTTTACTAAGTTTCTTAACAGCTCTGAAGAACCATGTGTTTTGACTCAAACATCCTTCACAACTTCTCTCATTCATTCCTAGTTCTTTCATGTCATTATCTTCAACCTCTATGGTCTCATTGACTAAGGTCAAAGGGTTCTTAGTCATTGCTGGTCTTATCTGAAACAATGTTTGTGCAACAGGTTTAACTAGTTCAGCAACGTCCTTCCTTAATATGAATAGCTGTTTCCACTCATCTTTGCTAACAGTTCTTTCATAACCACTGACAGTAATGATTTCATTTGCTGACTTTAGACACTTATGTTCTATCATTTGTATTGCTTTTGTGTAAGGCTTTCGTGAGCATAGGTTGTATATGTCATTCCTGCAATGTTCATTCATGCCAATAGTACTAAATCCTTTCTTTGCTGTTGAGTGCATAATATCCATTAGTTCCTGTGTTCGTATTGCTGTCTCATAAAATACAACAAGACCTTTGTCATCTATGACGTACTTACCGAAAACATTGCTTATATTCTTTAACCATGAAATAACATCCTCATTCATGCTGTCAAACATGAAGTAAGGTCTTACATACTCTTCACTTATAAGATACTCCACAAAGTACTTGTTAAGCTCTATGTCCTCGTGAGCGATTTCATTAGGTTTGATATTAGTTCCTTTTGTCATTGCTGTCATGTACTTCACTCTCATAGTTCCTTTCAATAGCGTAAAAGTACTTCATTGTTTCATAACTGCTCTAAATTCTGTTCAAAATTCGTACAACATAACTTTTAACATTAGAGAAAGAACATGAGCGAAACAACAACATCTAACATTACAGAAGAAGTCAATGACAATGCCGATGAAAACATTACAGAAGGAGCTAGTGAAAATATTGACGAGTTCAGTGAGGAAGAAGATATTGAGGACGTCAATGAGAACGTTAGTGGGGAACAAACTCAATGGGAAACATTGAGAAATCATGAAGATTATGAGATTTGTACGACATATCCTTTTACTATTCGTCGAAAGAAAGACAAACATATTATGAGTGAATGCTTAAATAATTATGGTTATATTGTGCTTAGTTTAAACAACAAAATGTACTTAAAGCATAGAATTATTGCAGAACAGTGGATTGAAAATCCAGACAATTTGAAAGAAATAGACCATATAAATCATGATAGAAATAAAAGCAAGTATGGCGATATAGTTTATGAGTTCGTTGATGAAATATCTGACGAAGCTGTTGAAATAACAGATTATGGTAAGCATTCGTTTGAGTTCTACTACTATGTTGAGAATGAGGACGCATTCTATTATTATACATGTCTTAACTATCGAAAACTTCATATAAACTTTACAAAAACAGGTGATGCTTATGTTTGTATGATAGATACAGAAAACAAGAGAGTAATCTTATGCATAAACAAATTCAAACGCTTGTACGGCTTCATGTAGGACAAACATTATTTTTCAACACTAACGCCAACACGTAGGACAAACATTCATGACTAACATTACTGTATAACATAAATGATTTGTCATGACTTCTTCGTAATGAGCGTAAATGTTTTGTCATGATTTCATCATCAAACATTCATCGAAAATGATTTGTCAATACTTCGTCAGAGATGATTTGTCAGACATTTGTCAGAGATGATTTGTCAATACTTCATCAGAGATGATTTGTCATTACTTCATCAGAGATGATTTGTCAATACTTCATCATCAGACATTTGTCAGAGATGATTTGTCAATACTTCATCATCAGACATTTGTCAGAGATGATTTGTCATTACTTCATCAGAGATGATTTGTCAATACTTCATCATCAGACATTTGTCAGAGATGATTTGTCAATACTTCATCATCAGACATTTGTCAGAGATGATTTGTCATTACTTCATCAGAGATGATTTGTCAATACTTCATCAGAGATGATTTGTCATTACTTCATCGGAAATGATTTTTCAGACATTGGTCAGAGATGATTTGTCATTACTTCATCGGAAATGATTTGTCAGACATTTGTCAGAGATGATTTGTCATTACTTCATCGGAAATGATTTGTCATTACTTCATCATCAGACATTTGTCAGAGATGATTTGTCATTACTTCATCAGAGATGATTTGTCAGACATTTGTCAGAGATGATTTGTCAGACATTTGTCAGAGATGATTTGTCATTACTTCGTCAGAGATGATTTGTCAGACATTTGTCAGAGATGATTTGTCAATACTTCATCAGAGATGATTTGTCAGACATTTGTCAGAGATGATTTGTCAATACTTCATCGGAAATGATTTGTCAGACATTTGTCAGAGATGATTTGTCATTACTTCATCATCAGACATTTGTCAGAGATGATTTGTCATTACTTCATCGGAAATGATTTGTCAGACATTCGTCAGAGATGATTTGTCATTACTTCATCATCAGACATTTGTCAGAAATGATTTGTCAGACATTTGTCAGAGATGATTTGTCAGACATTTGTCAGAGATGATTTGTCATTACTTCATCGGAAATGATTTGTCAGACATTTGTCAGAGATGATTTGTCATTACTTCATCATCAGACATTTGTCAGAGATGATTTGTCATTACTTCATCAGAGATGATTTGTCAGACATTTGTCAGAGATGATTTGTCAGACATTTGTCAGAGATGATTTGTCAGACATTTGTCAGAGATGATTTGTCAGACATTTGTCAGAGATGATTTGTCATTACTTCATCGGAAATGATTTGTCAGACATTTGTCAGAGATGATTTGTCATTACTTCATCGGAAATGATTTGTCGAAACTTCTTCATCGTAATGAGTGTAAATGTTTTGTCATGACTTCATCGTATATGTTTTGTCATGATTTCTTCATCGTAATGAGTGTAAATGTTTTGTCATGACTTCTTCATCGTAATGAGTGTAAATGTTTTGTCATGACTTCTTCATCGTAATGAGCGTAAATGATTTGTCAAACATGAGCGTAAATGTTTTGTCATGATTTCTTCATCGTACATGTTTTGTCGAAACTTCATCGTACATGTTTTGTCGAAACTTCATCGTATATGTTTTGTCATGATTTCTTCGTAAATGTTTTGTCATGACTTTTTCATCGTAATGAGTGTAAATGTTTTGTCAAACATGAACGTAAATGTTTTGTCAAACATGAACGTAAATGTTTTGTCATGACTTCATCGTATATGTTTTGTCATGATTTCTTCGTTTATGTTTTGTCATGATTTCTTCATCGTAAATGATTTGTCATGATTTTATCGTATATGTTTTGTCAAGACTTCTTCATCGTAATGAGCGTAAATGATCCAAAAATAATGTTTATGTTAGAATGTTAGATCTAACACCTTTTCTAACATGTTTTCTAACATGGAGGATTTCATTAGATATACACATTCTTCCCTAAACATTATTTTAGTTAAAGTCCATCAAATATTTTTAGGATACTTTCACCAAATAATGTTTATATCAGATGAAACAGTAAAGTATTATATCTATTAAATCGTCTATGATGTAAATTGTGTATAGAATGAAACAGTAAAGTATTATATCTATTAAATGGTCTATGATGTAAATTGTGTATAGAATGAAATGAAGGAAGAATGTTTATATCAGATGAAACAGTAAAGTATTATATCTATTAAATCGTCTATGATGTAAATTGTGTATAGAATGAAATGGAGGAAGAATGTGTATATCTAATGAAATCCTCCATGTTAGAAAACATGTTAGAAAAGGTGTTAGATCTAACATTCTAACATAAACATTATTTTTGGATCATTTACGCTCATTACGATGAAGAAGTCTTGACAAAACATATACGATTAAATCATGACAAATCATTTACGATGAAGAAATCATGACAAAACATTTACGATGAATGTTTGATAATGAAGTAATGACAAATCATTTCCGATGAAGTAATGATAATGAAGTAGTGATAATGAAGTAATGACAAATCATTTCCGATGAAGTAATGACGATGAAGTAATGATGATGAAGTAATGACAAATCATTTCTGATGAATGTCTGATAATGAAGTAATGATAATGAAGTAATGACAAATCATTTCCGATGAAGTTCTGACAATGAAGTAATGACAATGAAGTAATGATAATGAAGTAATGACAAATCATTTCCGATGAAGTAATGATGATGAAGTTCCACGATGAAGTAATGACAAATCATTTCCGATGAATGTCTGACGATGAAGTAATGACAAATCATTTCCGATGAATGTCTGATAATGAAGTAATGACGATGAAGTAATGATAATGAAGTAATGACAAATCATTTCCGATGAAGTAATGACGATGAAGTTCTGACAAATCATTTTCGATGAATGTTTGATGATGAAGTAATGACAAATCATTTCCGATGAATGTCTGATAATGAAGTTCTGACAAATCATTTTCGATGAATGTTTGATGATGAAGTAATGACAAATCATTTCTGATGAATGTCTGATAATGAAGTAATGATAATGAAGTAATGACAAATCATTTACGATAAAATCACGACAATGAAGTTCCACGATGAAGTTCTGACAAATCATTTTCGATGAATGTTTGATGATGAAGTAATGACAAATCATTTCTGATGAATGTCTGATAATGAAGTTCTGACAAATCATTTCCGATGAATGTCTGATAATGAAGTTCTGACGATGAAGTAATGACAAATCATTTCCGATGAAGTAATGACGATGAAGTAATGATAATGAAGTAGTGACAAATCATTTCTGATGAATGTCTGACGATGAAGTAATGACAAATCATTTCCGATGAAGTAATGACAATGAAGTTCCACGATGAAGTAATGACAAATCATTTCCGATGAATGTTTGATGATGAAGTCTTGACAAAACATATACGATGAGGTCATGACAAAACATATACGCTCATTACGATGAAGAAGTCTTGACAAAACATTTACGATTAAATCATGACAAAACATATACGATGAGGTCATGACAAATCATTTATGTTATACAGTAATGTTAGTCATGAATGTTTGTCCTACGTATTGGCGTTAGTGTTGAAAAATAATGTTTGTCCTACATGAAGCCGTACAAGCGTTTGAATTTGTTTATGCATAAGATTACTCTCTTGTTTTCTGTATCTATCATACAAACATAAGCATCACCTGTTTTTGTAAAGTTTATATGAAGTTTTCGATAGTTAAGACATGTATAATAATAGAATGCGTCCTCATTCTCAACATAGTAGTAGAACTCAAACGAATGCTTACCATAATCTGTTATTTCAACAGCTTCGTCAGATATTTCATCAACGAACTCATAAACTATATCGCCATACTTGCTTTTATTTCTATTGTTTTCAGATCTAGAACACCAACGAAGGTTTGAGATTCTGTTGTTCGTTCTATCATGATTTATATGGTCTATTTCTTTCAAATTGTCTGGATTTTCAATCCACTGTTCTGCAATAATTCTATGCTTTAAGTACATTTTGTTGTTTAAACTAAGCACAATATAACCATAATTATTTAAGCATTCACTCATAATATGTTTGTCTTTCTTTCGACGAATAGTAAAAGGATATGTCGTACAAATCTCATAATCTTCATGATTTCTCAATGTTTCCCATTGAGTTTGTTCCCCACTAACGTTCTCATTGACGTCCTCAATATCTTCTTCCTCACTGAACTCGTCAATATTTTCACTAGCTCCTTCTGTAATGTTAGATGTTGTTGTTTCGCTCATGTTCTTTCTCTAATGTTAAAAGTTATGTTGTACGAATTTTGAACAGAATTTAGAGCAGTTATGAAACAATGAAGTACTTTTACGCTATTGAAAGGAACTATGAGAGTGAAGTACATGACAGCAATGACAAAAGGAACTAATATCAAACCTAATGAAATCGCTCACGAGGACATAGAGCCTAACAAGTACTTTGTGGAGTATCTTATAAGTGAAGAGTATGTAAGACCTTACTTCATGTTTGACAGCATGAATGAGGATGTTATTTCATGGTTAAAGAATATAAGCAATGTTTTCGGTAAGTACGTCATAGATGACAAAGGTCTTGTTGTATTTTATGAGACAGCAATACGAACACAGCAAAGAAAGGATTTAGTACTATTGGCATGAATGAACATTGCAGGAATGACATATACAACCTATGCTCACGAAAGCCTTACACAAAAGCAATACAAATGATAGAACATAAGTGTCTAAAGTCAGCAAATGAAATCATTACTGTCAGTGGTTATGAAAGAACTGTTAGCAAAGATGAGTGGAAACAGCTATTCATATTAAGGAAGGACGTTGCTGAATTAGTTAAACCTGTTGCACAAACATTGTTTCAGATAAGACCAGCAATGACTAAGAACCCTTTGACCTTAGTCAATGAGACCATAGAGGTTGAAGATAATAACATGAAAGAACTAGGAATGAATGAGAGAAGTTGTGAAGGATGTTT